CCCTCTCTTTTCCCCCCCACCCCTGGCTCTTGCCCCTCTTCCCACAAACCTGGGTCCCCCCCGTCGCACAGAGGCGCAAACCAGGTGCCCCCTTGGTGTTTCGCTAGGACCGTCTGATCAAAAACGCCGCCTCCAACCTGTGCCTGTCGGCGAGGGGGAAGCACCCGCTGCTGGCGCCCTGCAACGCGCTCGACTCCCACCAGCGGTGGCTCTTCACCTAGAGCAGAGCAGAGCGGCGCCGAGACAGCCCTGGCCACCCCAAACTGCACTCAGGAAACCGGAATCCAAAAACTTCCTCCCTTGGGTTTTTATTTTATTTTTTTTTCCTCTTTAATTTAAAAGAAGCGAAAGCCTTAAATATGCTGCAGGTCACGTTTGCCTTGAATTCAGTCCTGTGCCTTTGGAGGGATCCAATGTTGGAAAATGCAGAGATTATTTTGTGGTCTCGCTTCTTCTGAAGCAAAGCAAGAAAAAAAAAAAGGGAAAAATCTCCCATTTGTGGCCAAGTGTCACATCTAGAGCTTATCCAAAGCCAAAGTGCCTGGACCTGGCTGTGCCAGAGGGGCTCAAGGACAACTCGCCCTAGTTGCTTGACCCCAGTGCAGCCCAGGGAACAGATTTTGACCAGCAATAACACGAGGAGCCTGAAAAGGAGACGGCAGCAGCGGCTGGAAAGCACCAGCCGCGACCTTCCCTGCAGGGACCTGCTTGGGCAGCTCCATAGAAAGCAGCTGGGGGAGTTTTTGAGACCCAGCCGTGCCGCCCCGCGGTGTCACCGTGGCCCTGCGATGTCACCGGGTCCCGCGATGTCACCGGGTCCCGCAATGTCACTGCTGCCCTGCAATGTCACCACGGCCCCGTATGCAAAAACCCGGCTTGGAAATTGCTGCCAGCAGGACGGAGAGCGCAAAGGGTTTGTGCTGCAAACGGGAAGGGACCCACGTTGGACCGGCCCGAGCACACGGAGCCGGCGGCAGCGCGGCCGGCGCCGGGAAAGGGCCGAAGTCGCCACGTCAGGAGGCACAAGATGAATCCCGGGATGGCGACGAGCCGGGACGCAGCTTGTCCCCCGCGGCCACACGAGCTCCTCGCTCCCGGGATGGGATTTGGGCTGCTCTGAGCCCGGTGCCTTGGATTTCGGGCTTGGTTTTGGAGGGGGTCGATAACTTTTTGAGTATTTTTCCCTTTGCTGGGGTTCTGTTTGTCCTTCTACTGATTTAAAGGACGACGAGCGCGGCTCCTGGGCTGGTACGAGGGGACGTGCGAGTCCCCGAGCCCCAAATCCGGGTCGTCCGCAGGAGCAACGGAGCCGGCTCCCGCATTCCGGCTCCCCCCTTGGCCAGCCTGGCCCCACAGTGTCTTCCAGGGCCTCGCAGGAGCCCGACTGTGAAACCTCCTCCCTTTTCTCTCTGTTTCTTTAAACCTGACTACTGTAGTTTACATTATTTTGTTTGCAAGGATTTTGTTTGTTTGTTTAGGTTTTGGGGGGGATAGGAGGGAGGGAAAACGCTTCCTGGAAGTGGGAAGACCTTGTCTTTGGATACATGGAATAAAGAGATGCTCTATTTTACAAACATCCCGGCTCCGCCTGTGCTTCCTTGGCGGCTTCTCTGCTGCCCTGGGGCAGGTTTGGGCATCACAGTGTAAGGAAGGAGGGTGAAAAGTTGCCAGTTTTGCCCCAAAACGCTCTTAACACCCCAAACCCAGGTTTGGGGCAGGCAGTCCTCAAATCCAGCCTGTTCTGAGGCCAAAAGGGGGATATTTGGGGCTCTCTGCTTCCCTAGGGAAGTTGGCGCCGCGGCGCCTCTTCCTCCGAGCGCCCTGATCCGAATCCGTCGCGCCGGGAAGTCCCTTTGCAGCCGAAGCAGCTGCTCTCGGCGCGGATGTTCGGGCCCGCGGCCAGGCGGCCGCTCCGTGAGATAAGAGCAGAAATGCAGCAGCTGCCTCTTCCCCCCGTGGCTACTGTTTTTCTTTCCTTTATTAATATTTCCTCCTCCTTTTTTCCAGGGGAGCCGATAACCCGTCCTAGCCACCCGCTCCGGTGTCGCAGGGTCCCATGAGGGGCCGGAGCCCGGGGGGCAGCGGCTCCAAGTGCCCCGGACGGCCCTTCCGAAGGAGCAGAATCATTAAAAAGGTTCTTGCTGAAAGGCAAGGAGGGGATTTCTGCTTCAAGCTGACACCAGGGCCAAACAAGCGTTTCCCTTGAGTTCCAAATGCCACGTTTTGCCCAAGCACCTGCTCCTGTCCCCAAAAGTGACTTTGCTGGGGGGCGTTTTCAAAGAGATTCAACATTTTCTCCCTTGACCCGTTGCACCAAAACCCTCCAGGCTGCCCAGACGCACAGAGGGGACCTGCACCATCTGTGGAAGCTACAATGCTTTAAAATGGGGCCAAACCCCTGTTTGCTTTCCTAATTATTTGGCTTTTCCAGGCGCAGCGCTTCTGCCCCGGCCTTCGGAGCGCTGTGTGCTTTGGAAGAGCCACCAAGGCCGCTCGCTCTGGCCGCGTCAGCTGCTTTTCTTCCCATCCCGCCTTCCCCATCCCCTTTAAAACCCAGACGCCTCCGGCCACGGGGTCCCTGCAGCCAGCGGAGAGGCGACCCGACCCGGCACGATGCTGCGGATCCTGCTCCTGGCCGCCTTCGTCCTCTGCGGTGAGCGCTGGGAAGCTCGGAGCGAAGCCGGGCTGCTCCGGCGCTTCCCGCAGCGCGGAGGAGGGATTTGAGGATTTTTGGAGCCTGCTTCCAAGCCGTTGCGCTCCTTAATTGCTGAAGCCAGTTGCAATTTATTTGGTTGTTTTTCTTGCAGTCCTCGCTTGCTGAGGATGGACAAGCGAGTCCAGCCAGGCAGCTCCGTCGCTCCGGGCTTTTTCCCAGCCCCACGGAGCGCTCTCCCCTCCTCTTTCCCGCAGGGCCGTTCCCCGGGATAACCCGGAGCGGGGCCGAGCGCATCCCGGTGTCTCCCGCAGATCTCGCTGCAATATTCCTCCGGCGGCAGCTGGCACCACACGTGCGGCGGCTCCCTCCTCCGCCAGAACTGGGTGCTCACGGCCGCTCACTGCGTCGACAGGTCCGTGGCGCCCAGTGGGCCCCCCTTATCCATGGCCGAGAGCGGAAAAGCCAACAGCCTTTTCCAAAGGGCAATCCCTATTGGGAGCACCCGCTCCAGGCTTTTCCCGACACTCCCCTGGAGGGTTGCAATCCTTCCTTGGGATTTTCTATCCTGAGGATTGCTGTCCTTGCAGTGATTTTTCCCTTCCCAACTTTCCTCCCCGGTGATGATGATGCCGGAGCTCTTCACCCGCTGCTTTTCCGCCTCCTTTGCAGTAACCTGAACTACCGCGTGGTGGCCGGCGACCACAACATCAACCGGGTCGAGGGCACCGAGCAGACCTTCAGCGTCAGCCAGATCGTCATCCATCCCTCCTGGAACAGCAACAATGTGGCCGCGGGGTAACCACGGGGCTCAATTTGGAGCGGGAGAGAAGGGAATGTCACCCCTACGAGGCCAACACCCCCCGAGCCTCCCGCTCCACGGGGATCCTTGCAAAATCCCTGGTTTTCTCTCCGGGCAGCTACGACATCGCGCTGCTCCGGCTCTCCGGCAGCGCCACCCTCAACAGCTACGTGCAGCTGGCGGTGCTGCCCACGGCGGGGACCGTCCTGACCAACAACTACCCCTGCTACATCTCCGGCTGGGGCCTGACCCAGAGTAGGTGCCGGGGGCCTTTTTGTCCCGGTTTTCCTCTTGCTGGGAAACTCCGGGAGTTTCTTGGATGGCTTCTAAAGCCCTGCAAGGGGCTGGAAGGCTGGTGGCGGCGGTGAGGATGGGCAGGGAGTTGGGAGCAGCTTCGGGGGTGTTTGGCAGGGAAGGGGCGTTCGCGGGTGTTCGTGTCACTGGGACGGGCGCCGGGGGGACCCGCGCGTGTCCCCGCGCTGACGCCGCTCCGGGGCGCAGCCAACGGGGCCCTCTCGAGCG